TTCATATATGTGTTTAAAGAGTGTTATTTCTGCTTGGATTTACCCCTTATGGAACAACAACAAACCCAAAAGCTGTTTCTGGAGTTTTGCAATCATGCTTGTGAGGAAATTAGTTTTTGTTGAACTTGCTTTTTGTCTACTATAATGATTTGTCTGTAAAATTGGATCAAGTCTTTTTCAAAATCATCTATTTTCTTTGTTTAGCTAAGAACAAGGCCAGTGCAATGGAGTGCCAATCATTACTGACACAGCTATGATACACTTAAGACAGTGCTGGCTTCACAAAATCTTTCTTGTAACCTGGGGGTTAGTACCCGCTCAGGAGCTCTCTTCTACTTTTTAATAACTATTGGTGTCCAGAGAGGAACGGGCTTGGGAAAACTTTTTTGTGCTAGAGGGGAGGCCCCTTACCTGGATCCCAGCACCGCCTGACATGAGGCAAAGGGTGATGGGGTGGGGGGTGGGGGGAATCAGAGTGGTGGAGACAAAGATCTTAGCCCCTGAGGCTAAAATATTTACTTTTGCAAATAAAAAATTAAAACAAACAAACAATGTAAACTCATGTCTGGTGCTGCTCTCAGGGCCTCAGAATGGCAAGTGCAGTGAGCTGAAGCTTAAGCTTCTTTGGCTTCATGGTGCGCCTGCTCCTGGTGGAGTCTTGAGGGCAGAGAGGTAAAGGGGTGGGTGTGCGAAGATCAAGCAGGACCCTGACGCCTTTGCAAAAACTCACTTCTCCCTTGAGATGAAGGGACATTGGACATTTTGAGCAAGGGTAAGAGATGATTCTTGTGGTAGACAGGGTAATGCCACCTCCCCCCACAATATCTATATCCTAACGCGTGGAACCTGTGAATATGTTACCTTACCTGAGAAAAGGGACTTTGCAGATGTGATACAGTTAAGAATCTGGAGATGGGGAGCTATACCTGGATTTTCCAGGTGAGCTCAATGTAATCACAAGGGTCCTTCTAAGAGGAAGACTGGAGAGTCAGAGATGGCATTGTGACCATGGAAGCAGAGGTCGGAGTGATGCGGCCATGAGCCAAGGAATGCAGGCAGCCTCTAGGCGCCGGCAAAGGAAAGGAACAGAGTCTTCCCTAGACTTCCAGAAGAAACCAGTCCTGCAGCAACACCTGTAAGGTCCATTTTTGGACTTCTGACTTCTGGAACAATAAGTTAATACATTTACGTTGTTTGAAGCTATTAAGTCTATGGTGATTTGCTAGAGCAGGGATAGGAAATGAATATATTTTTAGAAGGATCACTTTGTTGCTCTATTGAAAGTAGATCATAGGGATGGGGCAGAAGCAGGGAGCCCTGAGGGGCGGCTATTGCAGCAGCTGCGGGGAGAGGTGAGGTGACTTGGACCAGAGTGAGGGAACACGAGGGGGCGAAAAGATGGCAGATTTCCTTTCTTCCCAAAGTTCTGTCTCCTTTATCTCTTTTAAAAAATATGTATTATTTGAATGCTTCACGAATAGGTAAAGTGAGGCTCCCATTTTTTCTTTTGGTCTTTTCACACCTGGTCATACAAGGAGGAACAGCTGAGGAGGAACTGATGTCCTCTTGCGAAGTGCATACGTCACCCCATCTCAGGTGGCAGGCCACCTCTACCAAATTCCCTTCAGTGAATGACTGCAGCTCAGCATGGGAAGGAGCTTGGCAGAACCACCTCGCGTACCCCAGAGTTTGCATACAGCACAGGTTCCCTTCAGAGCAGCCTGGGACAAGTGAGGATGCCTTTTAGCCACCCGTTTGGACTTGGCCTTCCTTTCCTCTGGGTCCGTGGCTGCCGAGGCCTCTCCTCCGCCTCCCCGCTGTGCTGGTGTTCCTGGGCATGCCCACCCTTCACAGCAGATCCCTGTCTTATTTGTTTCTCCTTCCCTGCCTCGAATAGACCCTTGCTCAAAGGAGCTCAAAAAATAATTCTGGAACAAATAAATCACTTTGTCTTTGCTCCAGCAGATTTTATTTGCCACATGGATTCAGGGGTTTGAGAAACAGAAACCGATGTGTACTAAAGAAATGCAATTTATAGCCCCACGCATTTAAAAATGACAGCCACAAGCTTTGAAAACCACAGTTTCCTGTGCAACCCCCGAGGTATCAGGCAGTTGAGAGACCTCCTCACATTTCTTTCTCACGTGTCTCTCTTTTCCACCTGGGTTTTTTCCCTCTCACTTTGTGACAGGTGGCTTGCTTTCCTTTGGAGGGCTGAAATGTGTCTCACCATGGAAAATTAAATGTCCTCTCGCTTCTTTTAGGCTCTCGTGATCCTTGGGGTAGATCCTGTTCTTTTTCTTTATGAATGGGGGTGCTGTAAAAAGATGACGCTATGTTCCATCTTTACTGAAAGCATTCTGATCCTGGCCCAGTCAAAAAAATTGCAATTTTCCCTATAGATAATTAAATTGTAAAAGAATGTAAGTTTTGCCCTGGCTGGTGTGGTTCAATGGATAGAGCATTGGCCTACACACAAAGGGTCACGGGCTCCATTTCCCGTCAAGGGTACATACCTAGGTTGTAGGTTTGATCACTGGCTACAGTCAGGGCTCTTGCAGGAGGCAACCAATCAATGTATCTCTCTCTCTTTCTCGCTTTTTATCGATTTTTTTACAGAGAGGAAGGGAGAGGGACAGAGAGTCAGAAACATTGATCAGAGAGAAACATCGATCAGCTGCCTCCTGCACACCTCCTACTGGGGATGTGCCTGCAACCAAGGTACATGCCCTTGACTGGGATCGAACCTGGGACCTTTCAGTCCTCAGGCCGATGCTCTATCCACTGAGCCAAACTGGTTAGGGCCCTCTCTCTCTCTCTTTTCCTCTTTCTCTCCCACTCCTTTCCACTCTAAAAATCAATGGAAAAAATATTCTTAGGAGGTTAACAAACAAAAAAGAATAAATTTAAAGAATGTAAATTTTGAAGAGGGGTTTGGGAGAGTATTCTCAGCGAGGCCTGCCCAAAGGCTCCTAGGCGAGGGCAGACAGGTTTTCTAGGAAGGCCTCCAAGGTGAAATGGAGAAGCCTAGAAGCAATGGGATGTAAGAGGTCACAGGGCCGCAAGGTGAACTGGAAGGGGGCCTGTGATTTGAAGGACATTCTGGATTATTGTGTTCTATGAGAGAGGCTTCTTTTCTCTCTCCTTGATCTCTGGACACAGACACTCACTAATTTGCATTCGCCAGTAATCTCTGCACAGTACCACCAGCCATCTCTTTATATACAGAATTTATTTCAAGCCTCTTTTACAAGGGAGGAAGTTTGACGTTTGAATTCTGATCCTACTGCATAATCTTGCTAAGTATTTTTTCCATCTGTAAATTGAGGATCATGATAGTATGTACCAAATAGGTGTGCTTTGAAGATTGATGAAATAATGCACATGAAATACTTCATATAGTATCTAGCTTTTAACAGCTGCTCAATAAAAGTTAGCTTTCATCATCATCATCATCATCATCATCATCATCATCTTGCAGTAAGTCTTAAGTCTCCAGTTGTGAATGTATGCTTAGAAAGCTACATGCCACAAGCTTACAATGTGAACATTGTACTTGTAACTTGTATAATACAGTTTATGTATACTGGAAGGAGAATGAATCCATAAAAAATTTTACATTTCTTTGAGAAGATATAGTAAACCTTGGGAGGCATAAAGCTCCCAATAAATCAAAATTTCCAACTCTCTGGACCTGATGAGCAAATTGGCTCAGTCAAGAGGAAAACAAACCCAGGGCCCTTTAGTATTTATTTGAATCCCCTAACTCTGTTTCCAAGCATTTTTTGTGAGGACAAGAATAAAAAAAAATTGTGGCAAGATTTTCCTTTTTGCTTTGATTCTCCTTAGTTTGCTGCTTAAATGTCAGTAAGTCCCACCAGCTGCAGGTCACCACTGGATTTCAATAGGAAACCCCGATTTGGGACACATCTTTTTCATTTGTATTAGAGTGTGCGCTTGGAGTCGAACCAGGAAATCTTGGAGCCTGAACTCTTTTCTTCAAAGCTCTCCCCACTCATTGTTCTTTCCTCATGTCTTTAATGAATTGGTTTGGCTCCCAAGCACACAGGCCAGATTGTGAAGAATGAAAGAAAATTAAGAAAGGAAAAAGCTTAAGTTATTGATTTGGCTCAAGGGAATTTTTCTGAGACCTGTCCCAACCCAAAAAGCCACCACCACCACCAAATGATACCCCAATGTGTGGACATAGGGACATTCTTCAGCTTTTGGATGGGGACCCACCTTACTGAGCAAGTGTCAGTCCATGCCATCAGGGTTTTATACAGGGACCCCAATTTATCCCCGGTGTTTCATCATTTCATGATTTTGGGGATCTAAGTCACCTAAGCCACATTTGGTCAAGGACAAAATGCTCCAGCATTGATTGCACAAAGGGTCATGTTTGCTAACTACAGACTCATAGCTGCTGCAATTACTCACAGGTCCAATGGGAGCCTCCTAAATCTTCCTCTTACCTTTGATCTTGTTAACAGAGCTGCTGCATTCTCTAACTAGTCTCAGATACTGAGGTGTTATGAATTGTTCACAGACAAACTAATAAAAAAGATGTAAATGGCTAGTCTTCTCTTGCCCACTGGAAGTGGAAGCTGGGTAATATTTAATTTATTATGTTATGTGGGAGAAGAGCCCAGATTAAGCGTTGGGCGTTGTCTTAAAGGACCTGGAGTAGAATCAATAGGGGTTTGCCAGTTTCCACTAAAAATATTCAGAAAATTACTTCAGACCCTTTTGGGAAATAATAATATAACCAACTCTAAGACGGACTATCCATTTTTCAGCTATTCGCTATTAAAAAGAGTTTTCTGGTATTTTTCTGTGTACAAAATACATTTTCTCACTTAATAATGGCAACACAAAGTGGCATTATTTTACTGAGGCACCATGGGTAAGGAGAGGTCACGAGTTTACATATGCTTAGATGGATAATTTGGTGGAAGGAGCTCTTGGGCCTCTTGCTTCAAGATCCAGGCTTCCATGGCATTTACTCCACTTGGAATCAAAGCCTCTTAAAATGGCAGATGATTTGGATTTCGAGTCAGGAGGTGCAGGGGGCTCAGCTACCTTCCCAAAGCAGTGCTCAGCATTAGATAAGAATGGCTTCATGGTGCTCAAAGGCCGGCCACGTGAGATTGTGGAGGTGTCCACCTCCAAGACTGGCAAGCACGGCCACGCCAAGGTCTACCTGGTTGATATTGACATCTTTACTGGGAAGAAATATGAAGATATCTGCCCATCAACTCATAATATGGATGTTCCCAACATAAAAAGAAATGCTTTCCAGCTGATTGGCATCCAAGATGGGTATCTGTCATGGCTCCAACACAGTGGGGAGGTGCAAGAGGACCTTAGACCTTGGCAAGGAGACTAAGCAGAAGCATGAGAGGAGATCCCGATTACAGTGCTGTCTCCCATGACAGAGGAGGCAGCTGTTGCAATCAAGGCCCTGGCAAAATATCTGGCTCCCAGGCTGGTGGTGGGGGCAGTAGCGATCCTCCAGCCTGCAGAGGCCCCCTCCCCTAGCTTGGCCCAGCTCTGGCCTGGCCTTTAGCTGGACTCCTACACAACCTATTTGATGTGTTATCTTGGTCTTCCCTACCCCCAAATCTGCTGGGGAGCCCCTATTCTTCACCATGCTTCCTTGGCCAGGAGTGAGTGAGCCATGGTCTTGGTGTAGCTGCCCTCTTCTTCTCCCCTAGAACTACAGCCCTGAAGGGGGAAAGGAGGCAGGTGCTGCTTGTGGTTTAGGCTTTTTTTCCCCCCAATTCATTCTGGAATCAGAAAACCATGGATTCTGGCAAATGGTCCTTGTGCTCTCCCCCATTCATCCCTGGTCTTGTCCTTTGCTCCCCCCCATCCCCCCGCCCGTAGCCTTTTACCCCAAGCACCACCCCCACAGATTGGGAGCCAGCCTCCTCCCCATACCTATGTCTCTCCACAAATCCCTTTAGCAAGGAAGGGAAGAGGTGGAGAGGGAAGGGGCATCTGGGAGGACCCTGCTCCATGGGCTTCACCTTTTGTTAAAATCAAACCTATATTTTCTTCCACTCCACTTTACTTTTTAAAATAAATATTTTTTCTGTTGCATTTTCTTGAATAGTTATTTTGGAGGTGGTCTTGTATGTAAATACTCTTACATGACTAAAATTTTTTTTATTGCTCCTTCACACTTGCTTATTTGTCTGGGTATAGAATTCTAAGTTCAAAAAGATTTTTCCTTAAAACTGGAAGGCATCAGTCCAATGTTTTCTATCATCCTTGTTGCAGAAGAGAAATTTCATGGTCTGATTCTTGTGTCTCTGGGACTAATCAATTTGTTTTTTCTTCTGGAAGTTTTTAATGTTTTGTCTTTGTTTTTGGAACTCAAAATTTTATGCAGAACTGTGGGCCCACTTTCTTTCATCTTGATTGGCACTTGCTGACCCTTTCACTTTGAAGAGTTATGTCTGACTCTGGTGCAGGGAACTTTTCTTCTATTTATTTGAATATTTCCTCCCAGTCATTGTTTATGCTCCCTTCTCCTAAGTTTTCTTCTCACATCTTCCTCCTCTTTGTCATTTTGGAATGTATTTTAGGAGATTTCTTCAATATGATTTTACAGTTTGCCCATTAAACACTTTAACTTCCAAGAACTCTTTTTTGTTCTCTGTTTTCTTTGTTCCTATCAGCTTATTCTTGTTTCATGGATGCCATGTCTGCTTGAACATCCTTCAAGGTACTAATGAGAATAAACAACAACAACAACAACAACAACAACATAAAAACAAACGCCCCCCCCCCACTTGTTTTTGTTATTATCTCTTCCACTTGGGGTCTTCCTTTTCCTTTGTGCTATAGGTTTGTCTCAGACTTCTGGTGACTTATGGTTACTGGCTTGTATTTACTGGATGAACTGGATGGGTTAGTGTAGTTGCAAACGGGCCCCTCCTTTAAATAGGAAAGCCAGTGATGTGGCCAGTTCACAGAGAGGTGCTTCTTAGTCCATTCTGGCTGCTATAACAGAATACCATAGACTGACTGGTTTACAAACAACATGCATTTATTTCTCACAGTTTGGAGTCTGGGAAGGCCAAGCTTAAGGCATCAGCAGATTCGGTGGCTGGTGAGGGTCTGCTTCCTGGTTCGTAGTCAGCTGTCTTCTTGCTGTGTTCTCACATGTTGAAAGGAACAAGGGAGCCTCTTACAAAAGAGCTCTGACACCATTCATGAGGGCTGCACTCTCATGACCTACATACCTTCCAAAGTCCCTCCAATACCTTGGGGATTAAGTTTCAACATATGAATTTGGGGGAGATACAAACCTTCAGTCTGTAGCACTGTGTGTTAGTCCGGCAGTGTGGCAAGCCCACAGCTGCCTCAGTGAGGCAGGCTTTCCAAGGCTGAGTCTGCTGTAGCTGACGTGGAGGTTCAGAACTGCTTCCCTCTTAGACCTGGCACCCAATCTAGGTTTCCTCCCCAGGCATGCTGCCTACTCCTTTAGTGGGCAGGGAAGGGGGTATGTGGCCCAACTAGCTTAATTATTATTTAATTATTCTGGTGATGCTCCAAAACTAAGGTGATCAGATACTTTATCTTCCAAACTAGGACACTTCTGAGATTAAAAGGGAACCCTATTATTTCGCCAAGACAATAGGCATAAACTGGATTGTGTCCCTAGCCATAGCACACTCTCAATCTTTGTATTTATTGACTAAATTTGGAATTTTTCTGGGCTTCATTGGAAAGACCCACTCTTCTAATTTTTTTGGTAGGAACTGTTCCTATCTCCCCCCCCCCCAACTTGATCCTATTTCTATACTATTTTCTAGACTTTCTTTAAAATTTATGAAGCTCTACTAAATCCCACTCTTATTTTCCAGCACTGTTTTGTTTCTATTCTTTTTTTTTTAAACACCCATATTTTCTATCATGTTAGTGGGTCCTAAAAGGAAAAGGAGGTAGAAAGATATACTCAGTTTGCTATCTTGAACTGGAAGCTCTTTTACACCACTTTAAATATGTGCTGCGTCACTATATTGAATATCTGTGTGGTGTATCACTTTGCTCCTTTTGGGAACCAAATGCAGTGATAACAGTTGTGCAGCAGTGAGCTTACACTGGTGCATCATACATCCCTTGGTGAAGTCTTACCTTTCATTACTCTCACTTCTGGAAGGAAATCATGATGCCTGTGAAAGATTGGGCATCAAGTCATGGAATCTCTGAGCAATTCTCAATGGGAGTTGTTTATGGAAGATTTCTTTTGAGCTTCCTCTTCTTGCAGGATATGAATTATTGCCAAGAAGCACCCACTGTCAACACATGAAAGAATGTCAACTCCTGCAAAGACAATTCAGGCCTATCTTAGTCAGGTTAAAGGCTGAAAACTGTAGGAATTTAGAACCAAAGCCTTTACTTTGCAGAGCTCAGTGAAGGGTTGGAAAATCACCTGCCAGATGTAGGAATGAAAAGTCAGTTCAGAAAGACAATAGTTACTGGAAGCACAGAAGCAAAGATGAAGACTTAATAATAAGAATTTAGAAGCAAAAAGAAGACTTCCTGGCTCTAACAAGGTCTCATGGGACAAGAGCAATGTGGATACTCAGAAGAGGATCCACACTTCCCTAACACAGAAATTACTTCTTTGGCCACTTTGGGAAAGGGCTAATCTCAGCCCTTGGGGAGGGTGGTTACATGGAGACACTGGACAGGAGTCAAGATTCTGGTGTTTGGAGTGAGTAAAATTAGACACAGAACTATAAAATTTTATACTTGGATATGCTTCATATAAATCCTATATAATAAAGAGGCAATATGCAAATTAACCCTCACGCCCTCATAAGATGGCTGCCTACAACCAGGCCGGCAAGGGAGTTAGTGAGGGACGACCAAACTACTGAACAAGCAGGCTGCGTGGGGTGACCAGGCTGGCAGGGGGGTTAGTGAGGGACGACCAAATGACTGAACAGCAGGCTGTTTGGGGCGACCAAGCTGGCAGGGGGGCTGTGAGGGGTGACCAGGCCGGTGGGGGGGTAGTTGGGGGCGACCAGGCCAGCAGGGGGGCAGTTGGGGGCAACCAGGCTTTGCAAGTCTAGTCTGCTAATCAGGCTCTAGTCCACTAGGCTTTACTATCTTAACATTTATAAACCTTTATTTATGTCCCATAACTACCATGAAGTAAAAAGTGCTATTTCTCTTACTTAACACACAAGATGAACTGATTTTAAGTTTTTCTTATTGACGGAGGAAGAACCCAAAATGGGAATTTGATGAAAATTCAAAATAGAAATCCTATATAATAAAGCGGTAATATGCAAATTGACTGCCACACCCTCACAATATGGCTGCCTATAACCAGGCCAGCAGGGGAGTTAATGAGGGACGACAAAATAACTGAACAAGCAGGCTGCGTGGGGCAACCAGGCTGGCAGGGGAGTTAGTGAGGTACAGCCAAACGACTGAAGAGCAGGCTGCATGGGGCAACCAGGCCGGCGAGGGGGGCAGCTTGGGGTGACCAGGCTGGCAGGGGGGCAATTTGGGGGCAATTAGGCTTGCAGAGGGGCCAGTGAGGGGTGACTAGGGGAGGCAGTTGGGGGTGACCAGGTCAGCAGAGGGGGCAGTTAGGGGTGATTAGGCTGGCAGGGGGGCAGTGAGGGGCGACTAGGCTGACGGGGGTGGTAGTTGGGGGGCAACCGGTCGGCAGGGGGGGCAGTAAGGGGTGGCCAAACCGGCAGGGGTTGGGGCAGTTAGGAGTGACCAGGCCGGCACGCAGAGGCAGTGAGGGGCAATCAGACTGGTGGGGGGGTGCAGTTAGGGGCGACCAGGCAGGCAGGCAGGTGAGTGATTAGGAGCCAGTGGTCCCGGATTGTGAGAGGGATGTCCGACTGCCAGGGATCAGGCTTAAACTGGCAGTCGGACATCCCCTAAGGGGTCTCGGATTGGAGAGGGTGTAGGCTGGGCTGAGGGAAACCCCCCCATGCACAAATTTTGTGCACTGGGCCTCTAGTATGAAATAAAAAATGATGATCATCTAAATGTATATGATCTGAACTAAAGCCAATTAATATGCAAATTAGCATATCCAATTTTTTGTTTACAGCTAAAGTTAATCTATAAATTACTTATTGGATGCCAGTGGACCAGAGTAACCTTTGCCATGCAGAAGAGACCCACCCACCCTCACCTTCCTAATAATAATATCCATTGTTTTCCTGTCAGCAGTTTTACTATATCTGAGTCAAGGTAGGGGTATATAAATGGGGATATATATATATATATATGGCTTTTAAAGCATTTAAGTCCCCTCACCCTCCAAAATACTATTTTGGGCTTTGATATTTTTTCCCTTTATTGGGGAATCAGCAAGAAAGAGGGGATGACGCTTTTATAGCC